AGCAAGACAAACACGAAACAATCAACGTGCTCCTTCCTACTGGCAAAAGAGCAGCAGTGTGGATGAGAACAAAATCTTGAGTTCTGCGTGGGTTGTTGTGATTGGATGAGAGGCTTTGGTCTGTGAGCTGACCTGGACTTCATATCCTTTTGGAAAGGCTCAAATGTCCAAGGGTCTGTTGGTTTAGGGACAGCTCCACAATGAAATGCCTGGCAGAGCAAAGGACAGCAGAGCCTTAGCTGACCTCTTTCTGGGGACAAGCATTGTCGAAACAAGGACATGTGACAAAACACATCTTTTGTGTTTGTGCTGCATTACACAGCTGTGCTGGACAGGGCAATCCATTATCTTTTATCCCAGGAAGCGTTTCAACTACAGGAAGGTTTGCTTAATCTCACTAGACTCCATGACAGATCTAAAGTTGACGAGTAGTCTATGCAGTACCTCTTATATTCTTACGATTCTGCACTGATGGCTGATCATGATCAAGATTTTTACTCACTTGTGGACTGATTTTGTTGCTTCTGCAACTTGCTTTTTGTTAATCATTCATTTGACCACTAAAAAATAGAAATGCTAACAAAAACAGTAACCTGGGTTGTGTATGCTTCTGGAGGAGTGTACTGCCCCTTCTCTACTGCAAAACAAAAAATTCCTTTCATTCATGAATATATTCAACTCAGAAGTGTTTTGAAAACCATGCCATTGCTAACAACATCAATGCTGTGAATTGGCTCTTATGAAACAACTGTACTGACTCACTGGACATCTTTGTAGCCACTAAGTTACAGGCTGTCTGTGATGATCCAAATGTGATTTGGGTAGGTGGTGCACAAATGCCAAGGTGGCTCACATATGGTGAGCTGGAGCATACCGCTAGACAATTTGATTGTTAAGGAAAAAGATTCAAGGCATACTCAAAAGTTAAAAGTGACAGGGTAAAACGTATTGGTTAATCCTTTGACTTCTGAGCTGTAAAGTATACAACAATGGACCATGGCCATGAGTGTTAAAGCCCGTTTGAACAGAAACAAAGCAGTCATAAGCAGGAAAGGCAGAAGGGGCAGCAGCCGCAGGAACAGCTTGCAGTTTAGGGAGCACTCCCAATTGTGTGATTAAAGGTATTCACCACGTACAGACACATTCACCCATTTGACCTGTCTTTCCACCACAGCATGGTGATACCACTTTCAGCTAAACAGGACTCACAGCAGTGGTGACTAATTTATGTACCGCTCCTGTGAGAGAATAGCTCATTCTCTGTACAACAGATTTGCAGTGATGGGCCACCAATGCGAGGCAAAGCCTAAAGATCTTTCCTCACAAGCACTGTCGCTGCATAGCAATGGCTGTAGCAGACCAGACTGGGCTGCACACCGTGCCATGTAAAGTACTAGTGGTATGTAAGTGCACCAGTCCAGACTGAGCTCTTTAAGGTTATTATTGCACCAGCATCTTCAGCTGAACGGGACTAATAAGGACTGTATTAGGGAGAAAGGTATGGATGATTCAGAGGCTTTCCACTTGCACAGACAACTAAAAGGGTTAAAGAGTCCACCTCTTCTCTCCAGCAGCATAATTTGTTCTAGACAATTTCAGAGGCATTTTGTGTATTGACTTTGGATTTCTCTTTTAAAATCACATGGCATTTAGAGAGGTCAAAGCATTTTCTTTTCTTGTCTGTTCATTCTTTTATTTCAAAGGAATTATGCGACTGCTTTCTGCTTGCTATTGTATATTATGACTGTCCTGCAGACCATGAATGTTTCTTCAGCTGGTTTGTTCACCTGATGTGCCATGAAGTTACTTGTGGAATATCTGTAAGAATGGTCTCTGTATGTACAAAAGGCACATTTTGAACCTAGCATCTGGTGCTGTGACCTGTGGAAAAGGAAAAGAACAATTCACCTTAAACTACCCTTCAAAATTTTAGCAGCGAGTTCAAATCCTTTTCTCGTAGCATCTGACTGGGATCTAAATATCCTGATGCCTGAATTTAAAAAGCAACAGAAGCCTTGTCTTTCTTCTTTTTTTCCCCAACACACCTTTCTTCAGCTCTGTAGTTCTTCTCTATACAGATGCTCTGAATATTGCTTTTGAAATTAATTTGTATTCCCACAATATGCTCACTGAAGGTTTTGTTCCACTGATGTGCTGCACAGGCAGTGACTATGTCTGAGTTCCCTGAGCTAGACTGCTCTAGGATGAATAATTGTGCTCTGTGAAGCACTATGTCTGTGGTCTTTTACAACGCAGGCTGTTAGTGGCACCGGGCAATTACATACAAGTTTTTGCAGAGTAATCTATTTCAATATTATTAAATTTGGCAACTAACATTTGAAGGATGTGCTCTTTCTCAAGTTCCTTGGCAGCAGAAGTTTCTCCATTCCTCAGCAAGAGCTACGGATTCTGGTGGGAAGAAAGACTAGTGTTACTGGTAGTCCAGCCAACAACGCGAGAGAGAAAAGTTGCAATAAGTATAGTGTGGGCATACCATAGCAAGCAGTCCTGCATATGCTGATCTTACCAAGTTTTTTGCGTTCACAGAATGGTGACTCTGAGAGGGATCTGGCCTGTCAGTACTCATTACAGAAGAATAACTCAAAATTCCTTAGAGACATTCTGCAAGACTGAATTTCTCAAATTTTTTGTTTTATTTTCACAAGCTATGCCACACTATTTGCTGCCATAACCAAATCATACTTACAGCTTTTATCATTGTTTTTGCTTCAGCCATTTCAATATGCTCCTTTCTTTTCTGCAAGGTTTCATGTGCTATGATGAATGAATCTTCCATTCTGGAGATTTTAGGGTAAAATCCTTTCATTCAGGCATTTATTTTTTTTTTAAAGAATGGACTTATTCCAAGTAAAAGTGCACATCTGACATTGAGCTCCATCCATCACTTTATTTGGTAAGCACAGAACAGGCAGCGTGGGGCGTGGCACGAAATTACACAAGATATATTTCAAGGAGTTCGGCAAGTCTGCCGCAAGTACAGCTGAGAAGCTGTACTATTACCTTTGCAGGTGAAGCTGATAAGGTAAGCATTTCTTTCGATTATGACTTAAGTTCTAATCTGCAATTTAAAAAAAAGTACAAAACTTACAAAAAGATTGATGTAACCTCATGTTTATGACCTTTAGTATCAGTCGAAGAAACAAATGATTAAAGGATGCCTTCTGCAGAAACCTCATCTCACCTTCACATGTGTTCTGCATTATTTTACTGTTTCACATTCTGCCATGCATAAAGTCAAAGTATTTGTTTGTATGAACTAAAGCTTTGTTTACTAACTCTTCCACATTGAAAAGCTGGTGATATGTTACGACAGCCTCTCTTCCTTCTTCCTCTGTCCTTTTAATTTTTCATTTAGAATTAAAAGACAAAATTGAATTTGTTTAAATTCCAGAGGCTGCAACTAAAGGTCAGTGGCAGGGCTTATGGAAGATATTCTCTGAATGAAATTAAGGAACTCAACATGTTCAAGTGACCCCAGCATACTGCAGTTCTGTGTTATCTTTAATAGTTACATTTTCTAAGATTAAAAAAAAAAAAGCATTTGCTTCATGAATATGTTTCTTCACCAAGACCGTAAATGGAGCTTAAAACCTAAAATATAATAGCTAGCAGAATTGGTAAATAATCAAAAATCTACCTTATATCACCTATAGAAGTGGTTCAATTTAGAGAGAGATTGAGCATCCTTTCTAGCAGGGGAACAGCTAGATACACTGTTGTTCAAATTATCCCACACTAAGAGATGACTGTCACATGAATGTGTTGATTCCATAGGGACTGTGATCCATATGGCAGACTATCCTGGATTTTGTTCTCTAGCAGCCACAGAGGGAAACAAATTAAAGTTTGCACTGCTTGAAAATCTCCAAGAGCTAGGGGAAATTCCACCCTACCAAGGTTCTCTCTGCTTGTGTCAACATGTGGGAAGTTATAAGTGGTATAAACACTATACTGCTGCATTAGACTTCACAGTACTGTATTTTCTACTCTGTTGTCTTCTTTACTGAAAAAACCTTCCCTTCAGTGTTAGATGAAATGCTAGGTGCTGAAACTATGGGGAAAATTTTACAAGAATGTCAGAAAAAGGGCAGAAAAAATATTTAAATATTGACAATGTGAAGACCTCTGCAAATTAAACACAAGGCTAAACAAGCACTGTCTTATTAAAAGGTGGAATTTATGGAAAGGGTGATAATAAAAATTAAAGAACACTTTTTTAAAACAGAGTGAGATATAATTGAGTCAACAATGAATGGAATGAACTAATTATAGATGTTTGTCATAAACTGGATGAATTTGGTAAAACTTTTGCAGTCTCCATTGCTGTGCCTTCATTATCCTGTTTAAAAAAATGAAAGTAATGTTGTTAAAATTTGAGACCTCTGATAAAGTAGGTGGTGTAAGAACCTAGCTTCCGTTTACACTAGGCTGAAACTAGAGTAAATCTAGCAAAACTTATGCTGTTGCTTCAGGCTTGCACATTGTATACTGGAATCAACTGTAGTTTGGATCATAGAGGACTGATCTGTTAACTGATCTTAAAAGTGATGTTAAAAACTATAGTGAAGAACCTGGTTTGCAGTCTCGAAAAAATGAAGATTCTGAGAACAAATCTATGTGTGGGTTTTTTCCTTAAGGCATGAGAAAAGACTGCTGGTGAGCTTCTTTCAAGGTAACTAATATTCTTTGCAACATTTTCAACAATATGGTATACATGTACAGAGAAGGAGAACTCAAGTTTCAACTAAAAGAGTCACCAGCCTATGCATAACTGGTAGCTCTCCAGCATTTTGATTGCTCATGAATCCAAAAGCATGTCTGCCTTTTAAATCCACACCACTGGATTCTGTTTGCTGAAAAAAACCCTGTGCACCAGGTTCAGGGGTTCAAGTGCACCGACTTTCTTGCATTACAATTAATATATTTCATCATAATAAGTCAGACTCTTTCTGTTTGCTTTAGACAGCACTGATTTCACAATGGGCTCCATCACTGCAGCAAATGCAGAATTTTGTTTTGATGTGTTCAAAGAGCTGAAAGTTCATCATGCCAACGACAACATCTTTTATTCCCCCCTGAGCATCATTTCAGCCCTGGCCATGGTCTATCTGGGAGCAAGAGGAAACACTCAATCTCAGATGGAGAAGGTAAGTTACTTACATGGGTGTAAAGTGACCTCTACTTGTGCTTGTTGTTCCTTCTAAGTAACATCACTGAAATACGTTATCCACTGACGAGGCTTTTGCCTGTTTTAATGCACAAGAAATAAGCCAAAGTCACAAAATGGAGAACTGGATCGAGAGTTATTTAGAGAAAATACTAAAAAAAGATGTATATTTGCACTATAAGGGGCAGTTTGTTTTGACTTAGGGAAAAAAAAATCTTAAGGACAATAACAAAATGGATTACCAGTCAGCAAATTTTATTATATGATTTTTTTCTAAATTCTGACATCTTCCAGATAATGTGATCAGATTCTTTTTTAATATATAAAAAAGATAAATCCCAGGAAAAGAGGAAGACAGAATATTATTATCAGTACATAATATGTAACAGTTAATTTCTAGGCATTCACTAGAAAAAAAATCATCTAAGCAAAGAGTGATATTTATAGTTTCCAAGAAGGCCACAGAGAGCATAAACCAGTTGCAAACTCACTTGTAAATTCTTAGTTCATCTATGTTCTCACTTAGCACTTTTTTTTTTCTGAGCCAAGAGCTTTACCTCAAGCATTGTGTGTAAATCTCAAATTCACATCATTTATGGTCATGTTTGTTATTTCTACCACTGGCATTTTCTCTTGCAGGTTCTTCACTTCGATAACATTACAGGAGTTGGAGACACTACTGACTCCCAGGTAGAGAAATAACTTGATCTCCCTTTCTGTCTTATTTTCTCCTCAAAACAAAAATAGAAGTGTTCTGCCTCTCCTTCTGGCAGTTTCAGACCCAGTCAAAAACTATAGTAACACTCTCAAACCAAGGAGACCTGTGGAGGGAGGGAAGGAGGGTGTAACTCACCTATTTGTTAAAAACCAGGGAAAGAAGGCAGGTTGCACGTGTTGCACCAGAACAAGTGATGGTGTGGGGCAGGATGCTTTGGGCATCAGGGTGCCTTCCTGGACAAGTGATGCTGTGGGACAGCATGTGAAAGGGGCTCAGCACCTGGAGCCAGGGGACTGAGAGTCAGACTTGCAGCTGAGAGACCCCAAAGCAGGGCAGGAAGATGCTGGGCAGAGAAGAGCCCAGAAGTCTCAGTGACAGGAACACAACCACGCTCTTACAAAAAGCACACTTCAGAGGACTTATCTTGAGAAGGATGAACTTGTCGGTTCAATGCACCATCACCACAGCAGCCACTGTCCCAAAGGTGACAGCTCTATATCTGTGGGGGAGAATTCCACTGCAGCATGACTCTTAACTGATAGAGACAATCCTTTAGGGTCTTATTTCCTAGATAAGAAGAATGTAATGCAATGTATCTTCTTATTTTCATGTCATCACCTCAGTGTGGCACTTCTGAATACATCCACAGTTCATTCAAGGATCTTCTCTCAGACATCACCATGCCAAATGCTACATACTCACTCAAGATTGCTGACAGACTCTACATTGAAAAAACATACCCTGTTCTTCCGGTGAGTTGTACTGTGACCTGACTTCAGCGAGATTCCCCATAAAGGCCCCTGTGACTCTACCCTAGAGAAGCACCACCAACGGTAGCCCACTGTCTGTTGATGGAGAGGTGGTTGTGAGCCATGAGGGGAGGTGGTTCAGAATGAGTTTGAACTTCCTGTGGCTGTTAGGTGGAAGCCAGGCAAAAGTATAATGGCATAAAATATGCCCATGTTGTAACAGTCATAGGGAGTAATCAAGATTGCTGTTCATTTGCTAGAAAACAGCTTTTAATGAAAAATGTAACTTCTAAGGGAAATAAAATACATTTTATGACTTGAAAGCATGAAGACTGATATTGTCAAATTTGAATTTTTTCAAAGCCAAATATCAAATCTTCCCAGTGAAAGGAAGCTTTGTTTTTGAAATCTAAGAATATAAGAACACAGTATTAAAAATAAAAAGTGGACACAAAGAGAAGGAAACAAACATTGTCTGTCCTTAAAAATGTTTGCTAAACTGACAGGGTTTTGGTAAAATGAAGAAAATATTTCAAAATTTTAACTTAGAATCCTATCTGAAAAAAAAGCACCAGACCTAAATATGTGAATTAGTCTTTCTTGTCCAGCTTTAAGATTCAGTTACAGGAAGACAGCTGTGACTGACGTGTTCAAACACAGGGGGAAAAGTTCACTGTTCTTTCAACCATTCTGCTTCATTTCACAATCTTGCATTTCACATTCATACATTTTTAAGTTCTCATCAGTCTGACAGCTGCAATCCTTCTGCTTACAGGAATACTTAAAGTGTGCAAAGAAATTCTATGAAGCAGGGCTGGAAGAAGTTGACTTCAAAACAGATACAGAGGAAGCAAGACAGCTCATTAATTCCTGGGTGGAGAAAGAGACAAGTGGTAAGGACTGAAAAATGGGTAGCAGATATTTGCCCCTACCTACCAAAATCTATACCCTTCTCTTTCTCTCCTCATTATGTCTAGAAAAAGTTATGAAGCAGGGCTGGAAGAAGTTGACTTCAAAACAGATACAGAGGAAGCAAGACAGCTCATTAATTCCTGGGTGGAGAAAGAGACAAGTGGTAAGGACTGAAAAATGGGTAGCAGATATTTGCCCCTACCTACCAAAATCTATACCCTTCTCTTTCTCTCCTCATTATGTCTAGAAAAAGTGAATCACAGAATCATAGGATCATTAAGGTTGGAAGAGACCTCTAAGATCATCGAGTCCAACCGTCAACCCAACACCACCATGCCCACTAAACCATGTCCCTAAGCGCCTCATCTACACGTCTTTTAAATACCTCCAGGGATGGGGACTCAACCACTTCCCTGGGCAGCCTGGTCCAATGTTTAACCACTCTTTCAGTAAAGAAATTTTTCCTCATGTCCAATCTAAACCTCTCCTGGTGCAACTTGAGGCCATTTCCTCTCGTCCT